TCTAAATTCTTTATATGACTTGACTAATTGAATCTTATATGACAGATACTATGGAATTTACTGAATCCTATATGGTTCCTATATGGTATAATCTTTTTCTCTTTTTACATATGAGGAAATGAGGCAAAGAGAGATCAAATAAATTACCTGAGTTTATCCAGCTAGTAAGAAGCAGATCTGAGCTTCAAATCCAAGAAGTTCAGTTCCAAAGAAGTAATAATGAGCCAAGAAATTAGTAAAACGTGGATAAACAAGAATTAAAAGCAAAGTATATACGCACAAAAATAAAAAGTTAAAACTGAAATCAGTAATAATGGAAATGGAAGGGGAAATTTAGAAGAGAAAAGGTAAAGTTCCTGATGTAAGAAGAAAAGTAGATACTAATTATCTTTAAACTGTAAAAAAAAAAATACAAGAATACGTAAAAAATTTAAGTCTAAGAGAGTTGAAACACAATATATGAAAGAGTAAAGTGGAAACAGGAAAAAATGAATTTTACCTTGCTGGGTCTGCATATTTTTGTAAGGGTTAATTTTACGCGCCAGCTTGGCTAGGCTATGATTCTCAGTGGTTTGGACAGACACTGGACTGGTTGCTGTTATGTAATGTAAGGTAAAGGAAAAGGTAAAAGCTGTTGTTTTTGTGTGCCGCTGAGTCAATTCCAACTCATAGCGACAAAGGAGAACTGCCCCATAAGGTTTCCTAGGCTACAATCTTTACGGGAGCATATTGCCAGGTCTTTTCTGCCAAACAGCCACTGGTGGGTCTGAACCACCGACCTTTTGGTTAGCAGCCAAGCGTTTAACTACTGTGCCACCAGGATTCCTCACAAAGTAAAGGTAAAGGTTAAGGTTAGGTAAGGTAAGGTAATATAACACCCTCCATGATGTGATCTGATATAATCAACAAATCAATTGAAAGGGGAGTTTCCTCGGAAAATGGATATTCTGGCAGAGCGTGCTCTCTCTCAGCCCTGCAGTGTTCTCGTCACTTGACCTCCGGATCTTGGGAGGTAAGCCTGCAGAAGTCTCTGGCCTGCCACCTGACCTGCAGATTTTGATTTTGTCAACCCCTGGAATCCCGTAAACCAGCAGAGGTCTCTAGCCTACCGCCTGACCTACAGATCTGGGACTTGCCAACCCCTACAACTGCATGAGCCATTTCCTTGAAGTAAATCTCTCTCCATATATTTATATATATACATCTCACTGGTTTTGCTGCTCTATAGAACCCAACTAAGACAGAAAGCAAAATATGTATTATGCTAACACTAATAAAAAAGAAAGCTGGAGTGGCTATATTAACATCAAAGTAGATTTCAGACCGAAAAATATTCTCTGGGATAAAAGGAGTCATTTCAAGATGATACAGAGCCCTAATTCATCAGGAGGACGTAACAATTCTACATGTTTCTGCACCTGAATAGCAGAGCTTCAAAATACATAATGAAGACTGACAGAACTGAAAGGAGAAATAGAAATAGTTGGAGATTTCAATGTATCTCTCTTAATAATTAATAGAACAACGTGACAGAAAATCAATAAGAACACAGAAGACATGAACAACACTATAAGCTATTATGACCTAACTGACTTCTTCTCAAGTGCACACGGAACGTTTTCCAAGACAGACCATATTCTGGGACATAATACCAGTCTCAATAAATTTAAAAAGAATCAAATCATACAGATATACAATATCACAATTGAGAACCTGGAACAACTTGAGTCAATAAAGACAGACAATGTAAGTAGAAAAATGAAAAGCAATTAGAAACTCTAAGAAGAAATGAATGTTGTAATCTTATGGTTAGGGATTGAACAGTGTTACCTCAAAATAGGTACTGAAGTCCTGGCCTCTGTACCTGTGGATGTGATCCTGTCTGGAAACAGGGGTTTCCTTTTGCTATGCTAATGGAGTCACATCAGCGTAGGGCAGGTCCTAAACCTAAGCACTTTTGAGTTATAAAGAGCAGAACAGACAGAGGTGGAAGACAGATGTCATGTGTGAGAACCTGTCTACAAGCAAAGGAACCCCAAAGATTGCTGGCAGATACCAGAAACTAAAACAGAGGCCCACAGAAAGAATCAACACAGCTGAGACTCTAATTTGGACTTTCAGCCTCTAGAACTGTGAGAAAATAAATTTCTGTTCTTTAGAGCTACCCTTGTGGGATATTTCCATTATGGCAGCACTAGGTAACTACGACACTTACCTTTACCAATCTTAAATTTTAAAAACTCAATCTATAGGGAAGAACAAAGCATATTAATCATGGGTACAGAACAGACTATAAACAATATAAAGTACTCATGACAGAAAATGGGAAGGGGAAGAGCAAAACTGGTGGTGTTCCTATACTCATCTTAAAGGTGATCGGTAGAACTAAAAAACCAAAAACAGTTGCCACTGAGTTGATTCCAACTCATTGCGAACCCGTGTCACAGTATGACTGTGCTCCATGGCTGTGACCTTTCGGAACTAGATTACCAGGACTTTCATCTCAGGTGTCTCTTGGTGAACTCAAACCACCAACCTTTTGGTTAGTAAATGAATGGTTACCTGTGCCACCCAGAAGAACTAAACAGAGCCATAAGATTATACTGGAAGCCCATATCCCTTCCACACAACTCAGACCTGAAACTGTCAGGTAGGGAAGAGAAAAGAAGGCATGTGGTCTGCACTGGTGGGGAAGGGTGCCACGGGGACCCAGAGCAGATATCAGAGTCCAAGTGGAGTAGGGTGAGCATCCATGGGGGTGGATGGTGGTGGCCTAGCTCAGGGTGTTAAGAACCCAAGCAGGGTGAAGAGGCTGCCTTTGCAGGGTTAAGAATGGGGGTGGGGGGCGGGGCAACGCAATGTGGGAACTCAGAGCCAAAGTAGGGAGAGGACAGTGGTGTCTGAGCCAAAGTGAAACGAGGAAAGCATCCATACGGTGGTGGTGAGTGGAAAGCCCATGGGGTATCACAGCCTGAACTGGGTGAGTGACCAGGCACAGGGTTTTGATGTCTGAGCTGGGTGAGGAGGACATCCACACAAGAGAAGGGGTAAGGATGGCAATGAAAGATTGGTTACATCTAGGGGGACTGATCCAATAAGTATATTAAGGATAATGGAAGATAGGATTCTCACAGTCAGAGGTGGTGTCGTTACATGCCATCGAGTCACTTCTGACTCAGAACCACCCTATAGGATAGAGCAAAACTGCTGGTGGATTCTAACTGCTGACCTTTTGGTTAGCAGCCAAGCTCTTAACCACTGCGCCACTAGGGCTCCTACAGTCAGAGAAGGGGGTTAAAATTTGGAAAGGCAGCAAACTAGAATAAACTCAGAGGCTGGATTGCAATTAAGAGGTACTGGTGTGAGCTCCTTGTTTCCAGAGTATTTATAGGTATAAAATTTATACAGATGTAAATGCACACACATATAAACTCTCACTTTTCAATACATAGATATGTGTGTATACATGTGTATAAACATGTACAGACACACACACGGTCCCTTTCTCTGTCCACTTAAGAGTGCTGGGAAGCAACGATGCGCCAAGAGCCATGAGCACACTTAGCTCCCAGATCTTAGCTTCCAAATGCCATGCTCCATTAAAAGGGGACATGGCTAATTAGAGAAATGACTGACTCCAGGGCTGCATATGGGAATCCATACTAATTCAAATAAATGAGCAAATAAAAAAGAGTGAGACATTTACACAGTTTCACAGTAACTCCCTACAAAATACTTACTGATTACAAAGGGCCAAAGAGTAACTTTTAGTGAAGGAGCCTAGAAGACACTACCTTACTCAAGTGATCAGACTGAACTTCATGAGAGACAGGACAAATCAGAATTGTGTGCCACACGATAGGATGGAATGAGAAGAACACAGCACCCTTCTAGGATATTCCTGCCTGAGAGGCACGGTCTGAATCTCAGCATGACAAAACATCAAACAAACCCAAATTGAGGGCCATTCTACAAAATAAGTGGTTTGTAATCTTCGAAAGTATCTAGGTCATGAAAGTCAAGGAGGCTGAGGAACTGCTCCAGACTGAAGGAGACTAACGACACAGGACAGTGACATGCGACAAGTGATGCTAAATTAAATCCTTCTGCTGTAGAACAATTATTGGGACAGTTGGCAAAACTTGGTGTCTGAGAGTTAGAGCACTGCAATCTGTCAATCTTAACTTTCTACTTTTGAGGGTTGTATCGTGGATACTTTTGAGAATGTCCTTGTTTCCTTGGTTCTAGGAAAAACACAGTTTACTGGGAAGTGATAGGACATCAGGTCCGCAGCTTATTCTCAAATGTTCAGGAAAGACTACAGGAGACCCAACTAGAGGGGAGCAACAGGAGGGGCTGAAGAAAACTGAATGTACAGAGAAACATTTAAGATTGTGACGATGCCCCATGACCGACAATTCTCACGTTTTTGTGCTATGGGTGTTTGCAATAAATACCCTTTGAAAAGTGTCTAAAAAAAAAAGAAAAGTGTCTAAAACTCTAAACATACAAAACCTTGTTTTGTTAATATCTTTAAACTATAAACATATGGACTTCCAAAAACATAACTCAATGTTACTAAGAAATTTGAAAAATAAAAATAAACCATAACAGCTTTGGTGTTGTTGTTGTCTGCCATCAAGTTGATCCCGACTCACAGCTACCCTAGAGGACAGAGCAGGACTGCCCCACAGAACTTCCAAGGAGTGCTTGGTGGATTCCAACTACCAACCTTTTGGTTAGCAGCCGAGCTCTTAACCACTATACCACCAGGGCTCCGTAACAGCTTTAAGGCCTTGAAACCTGTCACAGGTATCAACGCCTGTTGCCATCAAGGCGCCTGCGACTCATACCAGGATTAAAATTAAGTATCAAGCACAAAGCCAAAGTCTCCGTCTCTATGAGGGGAAAAGTTTGCACAACAATTTATACCAATACACCAAGATTCCTGTAATTAAGACAATTTGAAAAAATATGTACATTGATAAGACTCCACTCACTTTTTATCCCTTGAGAAGCTTTTCCTTGCAAAAACATTGGCCAAAGAGTAAGTGCAGGATTGAGTTTATTGGAGAAAGATGCTGATTTTATATTCAATCTTGCTTTCTCTAAACAATCAAGGATTTTATTCTCGGTGGGTGACACATAACAAGCGAAGTTCTTTGCAACCAGATCATCATTAACACACACCTGTAAAATTTTAAACATTTCATGAATAACACGACAAATATAATCAACCGATTCTTCAGAAAATATTCCAAACTAAACCCCAAATTTCAATGTTTAGAAAAAATTATTTTGGTAGAAACAGTTCTCTTGACTTTTGCTCTGGTAATGGTAAACCAGGGCATCCTGACAAAACCCTCCCGGTGAGAACAACAATAAAAATCTGCAGGAAATATAAGAAACATCTTCTTAAAAGCACAAACAAGATCCTGTCAGACAAAGATTTGGTGGTAAGACAAGACACAAACCATAAAATTAAAAACTGATAAATCAGATTTCATCAAAATTTAAAACGTCCGCTCTTCAAAAGACACTGTTAAGAGAATGAAAAGGCAGTCCACAAACGGGGAGACAGTTATTTGTAAATCATATATCTGATAAATGATGTGTATCCCGAAGACATAAAGATTCATAAAACTAATAAGACAACAAATTATCCAATTAAAAAATGAGCAAAAGGTGTATCAAAGATGATATATGGACTGCAAATAAGCATATGAAAAGATATTCAACACTGAGTCATTAGGCAAATGCAAATTAAAACCACAATGAAATACCACCACACACCTCTCAGAATGGCTAAAATTTAAAAGAATGATCATACAAGTGTTGAATAGGGTGTGGAAGAATCGAATTCGCTTTCGTCGTTGTTCTGAATGTAAAACGACCAACCACTTTGAAAACAACTGGCAGTTTCTTAATACCTATGATATCATCCAACAGTTCTGCTCCTAAGGATTTATTGAAGAGAAAAGTGAAAGCTTATGTCCACAGGAAGGCTTGTACACGAGTGTTCATGGCAGCTTTATTTGTAACAGTCCCAAACTGACCACAACTCTGAAGCCCGTGGTGAATGGATTCACAAACTAGAGTATACTCACACAACGGAAGAGTACTTAACAATAAAAGGAAATGAATCCCTGCTACATGCAACCACATGTAAAACGATTATGGTGAGTCAAAGTAGTCAGATTAAAAAAAAAAAAAGAGTACATCTAGAATACATCTTTGTGCTCCCCTGGAGCTGCAAAGGGGATGTTGGCCCTTATTTTCTTTTCCTAGCAATTATGACCTCATGCATTCATTACAAGTTCTCTCTCGGCCAAGCACGGACCTCCTTACTTTCTGCATCTCACCACCTTGGAGGAAGGGCCAGTTTCCATCACTACACAACCATACACAGAGAGAGGCTTACTCTTGGAAAGCAAGAAGGAAGTGGTCAGTAGAGAATTTGTTTAAAAGAAAATGTCTTACAAGATGGGTTCTCTGGCCAACATTCTGGGTATTTTTACCAAGGTATAAAACAGACAATGGAAGTCACAGGTAAAATCAACCAAGATGTCTGTGTGTCGCGGTGGGGGCGCGGGGGAGGACTCAAAATGCAATACCAACTATAACAAATGAACCTTCCTACAAATGAGTAACAATCACACTGTGTGGAAGAAGACTAACCGAAGAAACTTTGGAAAACAGAATTCTGGTTGCACACTGTAAGACAAAAGACAAATTTGTTTTTCACAGGAATGTGGGTTAGCAATTCTGAAATCATCTTACGTGAATACTAGGATTAACCAAGTAAGTATACTGTGATTAAGGAGAGCAGGTTTCTCACTGCTGGATTAAGGTGTTAAGAATAAGAAGGGGAAGGCCAGAAGGAACCTTATGGTGCTGGATTAAAATCAGAGGCATCTGTATGACTGCATGGCTTTTAGTTTATGTATAGATGAATTAATATAAAAATATAGATATTGTGTGTGTGTGCATGAGAGTCAAAAAGTATTGCTACAAAATCACAGAAACCTTTATTAAACAAAAATATCAAAATGTGAAGCTACTGTTTCTCGACACAGCCTCCATCTAGGTCTATACACTTCTGAAGGCAGTGTTTCCATCTCTCTAACCCTTCGCCCAAAGAATTCTGTGCTCGATTTACACCACGTCAAAATGGCTGTTTTGGCATCCTTGAGGAACTCGAATCATGTTCCTTCTAAATATTGCATTTTGGAAACAAAAAAGAAGTCTGAAGGGGCAAGATTAGGGCTGTAGGGTGGATGCGGTAAGGTTTCCAACAAAATTCTCTTAGGACAGGCTTTTTACCCTCAAAGAATGAGCAGGTGCATCGTCATGATGGAAAAAAATTTCTCAGTGCAACTTTCCTGGCCTTTTTCTCACCAATGCAGTTTTCGATTTTCTTAAAACTTCATAATAAGCCCCCATGATCGACCTGTGTCCTTTGAGAAAATCTCCCAAGATTATCTCTTTGGAATCCCAAAAAACAGCTGAAGAGAAAAGTGAAAGCTTATGTCCACAGGAAGGAGCAGCCTTCCCTCTCCTGGCTCATCTTTGAGGTCTTCCCTATGTCCTTTACAACACCTGATCCATCTAAAAATTGTTTTATGTGGGGCAGCATTCCCATAAACTCGTTGTAAAGCCTCAATGATTTAGGAAGGTGCCCACTTGAGTTTTCTTAAAAATTCGGTATTAGCCCTGACCTCAAAATCATTTTCTTCCATGGCACGGGAAATATCACATTTTTTTTTTTTGAAGGCACCCTAACAAGACTAAGACAAGTGTATTACTGAGAGAACTTATCTGTAGCCATCCACTATTGGCAGAGACACGTGTAAACACACTTTGTTTGAAATAAGCCCATGCATGAACTGGAACCCTAGCAGCAATATTTTTTTTTACTTACTCTCGTATATATTTTTTTTCCTAAATCCATCTGCCAAGAGGGCCTACAATCAATGACACCTCAGTGAGCACAGCTAGCGCCCAGATCTCAGCGTCTATCATTCTTTAATAAAAGGGTTTCTTGGAGAAGTGGTTGATTCTAAGACTGGGGCTGGAGACACAAAACGAGCCTGAAGCATCTCGTGATATCGGAAAGTTAAGGAAGTGCTCCAACAATGATCCAACACATAAGCCAATTTGAAGAAGCTCCTAATGACCAAATCTGAGACAATTTGAGCAAGAAAATAAATAATAGATTACAATTTCCAGAATAAAGTAAATATCCAAGATTTCATATTAGTATAAAGTAATTGTTGAATAAACAATCAAGGGGAAGGGGGAAGAGACAGTTCTTCCCTACAGAATTCCAATGAAAATGTAAAAGGACTAACGGAAATAGGCAATACAGCACGTAATAACTTTGCAGGCAAGAGTCATCCATGAGTATTTGCGTAGTGTCAAAGTATCTTCCAATAACATACTTATTAATTTCAAAAGGAAAAAATCGTAACTCTACAGAGGAAAAGCCTGGCAGATACCACCTTAACCAGGTGATCAAGGTTAACATCATCAGTCATAAGATGTATCACCATCACGTACCCCTGCTATGATATACTGAAAAGGGCACAAAATTACTTCGGTAGTATTCTTGCCAAAAAACGTGTAACTTCACTGAGATGATGATAAAACATCAGACAAACCCAAACTGAGCAACATTCAAAAAAATAACTGGCCAGTACTCCTCAGAAGCATCAAGATCATAAAAGATGAGGAAAGACAGGAACTGTCACAGATTGGAGAAGACAAAGACGTAACAACTATTTGCCACGTGAGATCCTGGACAGGATCTGAGACCAGAGAAAGGAAATTAGTGAGACAGCTGGCAAAATTCAAATAAGGTCTGTAGACTGCCTGTGTGTGGTAAAAATATATTTAACATTTGAAATTTTAAGTGTACAATTCAGTGACATCAATTACATTCATCATGTTGAGCAAACGTCACCACTATCTTTTTCCACTTCTCCCCATCATCTTTAACAGAAACTAAGTGTCCTCTAAGCAATGACTCCTTCTTCACCCCTTCCCTTCCTCCTGCCCTGGGTAACTACTCATAAACTTTTATTGAGAGTTTTTATCTGGAATGGGTGTTGGACTTTATCAAATGCCTTTTTGGCATCAATTAAGATGATCATGTGATTCTCTACTTTTGTTCTATTTATGTAGTAGATTACGTTGATTGATTTTCTAATGTTGAACCATCTTTGCATACCTGGTATGAATCCCACTTGGTTGTGTTTTTTCAATTTTTTTGATATAATGTTGAATTGTATTGGCTGGAATCTTGTTGAGAATTTTTGTATCCATATTCATGAGAGATATTGGTCTGTAATTTTCTTTTTTTGCAGTGTCTTTGCCTGGCTTTGGTATCAGGGTTATGCTGGCCTCACAGAATGAATTTGAGAGTATTCCTTCCTTTCTATGCTTTGAAATAGTTTGAGTAGTACTGGTGTGAGCTCTTCTCTATTTGGTAGAATTCTCCAGTGAAGCCATCAGGGCCAGGGCCTTTTTCTTGTTGTTGTTGGGAGTTTTTTTAATTACCTCTTCAATCTCTTCTCTTGTTATGAGTCTGTTCAGATTTTCTATCTCAGTTTGAGTTAGTTTAGGTAGGCAACGTGTTTCTCGAAATTTGTCAAGTTTCCTCTAGGTTCTCAAATTTGTAGGGGTACATCTTTTCATAGTATTCTGTTATGGTCCTTTTTATTTCAGTTGGGTCTGTTGTAATGTCCCCCATCTCATTTCTTATTTGGGTTATTTGCTTCCTCTCCTGTTTTTCTTCTGTCAGTTTGGCCAATGGTTTGTCAACTTTTGCTGATCTTTTCAAAGAACAAATTTTTGGTCTTGCTGATTCTATTGTTTTTCTGTTCTCTATTTCCTTTATTTCTGCTCTAGTCTTATTTCCTTTTTTTCTGGTGTCTGTGGGCTTCTTTCACTGTTCTCTATTTGTTCAAGTTGTACCGCTAACTTTTTTTTTTTTTAATTGTACTTTAGGTGAAGGTTTACAGAACAAATAAGTTTCTCATTGAACAGTCAGTACACATATTGTTTTATGACATTGGTTAACAACCCCACAACATGTCAACACTCTCCCTTCTCCACCTTGGAAGACCTTTCTTTTGGTGAAAATACACATAGCCAAAGATACACCATTTCAAAA